ACAAACTTCACACAGCGATAGATCCCGGCGTCCTCGGGGCGGGTGTCACTGATGCGGATGGTGAAGTCTGTGTCAGAGCCATTCGCAGCCCGCGTCACCCGGGGGAATGATCCCACCTGAGCATAAACGAGCTGGCGGCCACTGCCCGAGCCCTTGAACCACTTTGTGGGTCCCACTGGAACGAGCTCAGTCACAGAGCAGATCAGAGTGAGAGTCTCTCCCGCTAGCACCGACTCGGCGCCCTGGGGCTGCAGCAGCTGGAACTCCTGGGCCCCGGCCCCTGGAAGGAGAGAACAGGCCGGGCTGGGGGAGGCTGGTTGACAAGCCCCAGTCCCGTAGCAGCAGGGGGTTCAGTCCCACGCCCGGCACCGCTGTGTGGATCCTGCTCCCAGCCCTGCCTGTCAGGGGCTTATTCCTTCACCCGCTCACTTCCCTGGTCCTTCTCGCATGAACTGAGAGCAACAAATATCCGAAGTGTAAAGGCGCAAACAATTCGATGTTTATTGGGGTGAACTTCCAGCCAGCATGATTCCAGTTTCCTTCTCAGTGTCCCCCTTCCCAGCTCTGACACCACAGAGCAGTCCCTGTTCCCATTCCCCCCTTAGCAAAACATGATTCCAATTTCCCCACCCCCATTCCCTGTTCCCATCCCCCCCCTTACTTCCTGATTGACTGCAGACTATATAGTAAAACTTGAGTTCTGCTTAGCTATCCCTTAGCCAATCATTTTACTGAAATTTAACTAACCAATCCTGACACATTGTAACATGGTTATTTAACCAATTATATCCCACCACCTTAATTGGTTTACACCCAACAAAATTAATTATACAGCAGACAGAAACAATCACAGAACCAGACAGAGACCATGCAAATAAACATACAAAACAATACAGAAGTGAGGATTTTACAACTACATCTATACAGACCGCTGGAAAACCCTTCCGTGTCTATTGATAAGTGAGTTCTTGCCTTTACAGACAGGCCTGAATATCTATATCCTAACACTGCCTAGAGCCGGGCCCTGCCCAGGGTGGGGCTTTAGCTGCCGGAGAGTAACTTTGTGTTGTTCCACAGCGACCCCTACAGGCTGCCCCGGAGCCGCGTTTCCAGAGCTCCGCCCCGGCTCCCGGGAGCAGGCAGTTACCAGGGAGCTGTTGCGCTGAGCGTGAGCAGGGGAGCCGGGGCAGGGACAGAACCTCATGTGCACGAGAAGGGACAAGGGCCCTGAGCCCAGCTGCTGCACTGCTCCAGCCCCAGAGAAGGAGCTTCTGGGTGTGTCACTTACTGCCAATGAACGGAGGGTTATTTTGACCCTGGATGGCCCCATACAGACATGGCACGCGATGAAGTCTGAAAGCAACATGATTTAAAGGGACAAAAATAAATATTTTTAACCCACATCTAACTAACCTGTGGAATTCACTTCTGCAGGATATTGTTGAATCTAATTGCTCAGTAAGATTTCTACAAAAAGATCAGACATTTATAAAAATATAATAACAGCCCCTGCAGTGACACTACCTGGGATCAAGTTTAAACACTGTTACCGGTTCTCACTCCAGAGCACAAGCTGATCACAAGCTGGGGGCAGGAAGGTTTCCTCTGGGATATAAAATACACAAGGGTTTATTCCTCCCTTTAGATCAGCTGGAATTTCCCTCCGTTGCAAGCAGCAAGAAAGCAGACTAGACGGCTTGTGCCCGCGTGGGCAGTGTCTATGTTCTACACTCACCAGGGATCTCCAGGAGAAGCAGCAGCACCAGGCATGGAAGAGACAATCCAGACACAGGGGTCGACAGAGCCATTTTGTTGTCAGAGGGCGACCTTTCAACACCGCAGCCTTTGCCAGCTCTCCGTTGTCCAAAGAGATAGTGAGAAGTTTATCATTCAAGATCGGACCTTCCCCCATTGCAGAAGGAAGTGGATTGTGTTAGTGACATTTCCTGCTTCCACCTCTCTGCAGACTGAACTGTTTTTTTCCCACCATTAATTTTACATCTCACAGCGAAGCGGCTGGTGACCCGTGTTCTCTCTTGAAGCCTCATGTAATCCAGCCTTTGATTGCCATGAGCTGAAGCACCCAGGCTAACGCTGCTGGGGTATTGAAGGGTGGAGAGAGGGGCCCTGGCAGAGCTGCTCTTTGGGAAGGGAATTCCCTGACAGTGTTGAAATCTCCCTCCCAAACACCAAACCAGAGCATTTACCAGCCACTGTACGTGCAGAAACACTGTCCACAGAGACATCTGAAAGCTGGGCCCGGAGACCCCTTTTCTGGAGCTAGGACCTACCTATGACTGCTCCAGAGAGGCTCCTTCAGCACACGCCTCAGTGCGGGGATGGCACATGGCCACTCCCGGCACCTGATCTGTTAATTAGAGATGGGTTGGGCATGGAGGGTCTAGGCTGGAGTTTGGCTTTGGGAGTTAGTTTGGCTTAGTTTGGCTCAGAGGAGAAAGAAGGTCTGTGCTAAAAGCACTGGACTGGGATCCAGGAAATGTTCAATTATCTGTGACCTCGGGGAAGTCGCTGAGTCCTTCAGGGCCTCCATTATCATCTTGAAATTGCCTTTGTCTGACTTGTCTGCTGGAGATACCTGACCCCTCCGCAGGGCACAGGCTGGGGGCTGGCTGCTGTATGAGACTCGCCGCCAACTTCTTCCTTTCTCACACAGACCTGGGCACAGCAAAACCACCCCAGAGCTTCCCCTGGGCACTGGGGCACCAGGCTCCCTCGCCATGCTGCAGAGAGACGGCGCCTGCACCTGCTCTGGGCAGTGTCCACAGCGCCTCTCCCCCGCTCACCCCCCTGCCCAGCTGGGTCCTCCCCTCTCCCCAGTGCACAGCTGGCTCTAGACCTCAGTGCCCAGCGTCTCTCCCCTGCACAGCTGGGTCCTGCCCCCTCCCTCAGTACACAGCTGGCTCTAGACCTCAGTGCCCAGCGTCTCTCCCCTGCACAGCTGGGTCCTGCCCCCTCCCTCAGTACACAGCTGGCTCTAGACCTCAGTGCCC